ACTCTCTATTTCCCTTCCACAGTGTCTAATTGCTGAGCCTATGGAACCCAGGATGACTCAGTGTACCCCCCATGCGCGCACACACACACACACACACACACACACACACACACACTGACTTTCATATAACCTCAGGGTCGCTTTCAGTGGTAAAGCACTTGTCCAAGCCAACAGATCCGCATTGGGCCTTCATTCTGCACTTGGCTCCCATATCACCTTCTAAAAACATTCCTACCTATTGTAGTGGGTGCTTTCCCCTTAGGAAGGGAAGCACATGTCTGTCTGTCCACACTCCGTGGACAAACAGAAAGGTAGCGGCAGGGTCCTTATGATCAGAGGTCCCAGCCCTGCTCGGCCCCTTCCACTGAGATTCTTGTCTCCTTGCTGCCTTTCCCTACCTGTGGACACCACTTGTTGACCTGAACCTATCTGTTCTTCTTATCTCTGAGAACTTACAGGGACCCTGCATACTTGCCTAGACCCAGAGCAGACCCACAGTAGGTGTCTTCTCCATAGGCACCTTCCTTCACTAGCAGACTTCTAAACGACCTCTTCCTGGCCTCAGTTCCTGGCTCTCTACTCTATTTATGCCTTCTCCCCGAGTCATCTTAGCCACTGCCTGTGGCTGTATACTTCAGCTATTTCTTTTTTTTTTTTTTTTAATTTTTTTTTTATTTTTGGGACAGAGAGAGACAGAGCATGAATGGGGGAGGGGCAGAGAGAGAGGGAGACACAGAATCGGAAACAGGCTCCAGGCTCTGAGCCATCAGCCCAGAGCCTGACGCGGGGCTCGAACTCACGGACCGCGAGATCGTGACCTGGCTGAAGTCGGGCGCTTAACCGACTGTGCCACCCAAGCGCCCCAATCTCAGCTATTTCTAATCACTCCTACGCTTAGAGCTAAGACCGGGCTTTTCCGCTGACTTCCATATATCCATCTGCCTATGTGACATGTCCATTTGGTTGTCCAACATCTTAACGGTAACAACCAACAGAACTCTTGATTACTGCCCCCTCCTGTGCCTTGTGCCTCTGGCAATGGCATCTCAAGGACTCCTCCTTGAGGCTTCCTTTCCCTCATCGCTTCATTCAATCTATCAGCAAGACTTGCTGGTTCTATATCCGTAAGAGCCATCACCCTGTTCCAAGTGCCATCTTTGCCTGCCTAGAGCAGTGCAAACAATTCCCATCTCGTCCTCCTCCCCCTTTTCCATTCTCTACTTGACAGGACCTGCAATTATTTTGAAATCTAAATCAGCAGCTTGAGAGACTTCCCTCTGAGGGGAGAATGAATGAATGAATATATGTAAAGCACCCGGAACAGTGCCTGCACACAGGAAGTGCTATATAAGAATTTGCTCTTGCCCTGCTTCTGGGGCTTCCAACCCATCTGGAACACAAGAGAAATCTTCGAGGCCCTGCCTGACCTTGGTCCCTCCAGTGGCATCTTGGCTTCAATCATACTGGCCTCTTGTCTGGCCCCCAAAACGTGTGAGGCTCCTTCCTGCCTCAGGGCTATTGAATTTGCTATTCTGTCTGCAAGAACACAGACATATTTGCATAGTCTGGCTCTTTCTGCCATGTGTGCCTCAGTTCAGAGAAGCCTTTACAGACCAGCCTGTTCCCAGGAGCACCCCCCTCCCCCCCCATCATTCTGACCTTCTCTGTTCTTTATCAGATCAACTTTATGTCTCTATTTCCTTCATAACATTTGCCACACAATCAAGAGATCTTGTTTATTCGTTAACTTGTCAATTGTCTGTCTGTGCCCTCTAGAATGCAGGCTCCACCAGGGGAGGGCTTTTGTTCATCTTGGTTTACTCCTATCGCACAGGGCACATATCCCAGGAATATTTAATGAATGAATGCATTATTTAATTAATGAACACTCTTTCCCCCCATCTGCACTCTGCCTTCTAGCTTGGATGTCAGGTAAGCATTGTGTCTCCCTGTGAATTATTATCCCCTGTTCCCCTCTCTTGGGGGCCTTGGCCAGCCTAGATGCACTGACTTTACCAGACCTCAAAGTCCCAAGCCTAGCCGTCGGCTGTTGGTGGACCTTGGTGTCATCAAGTCTCACCGTACCTGGTGTGGTGCTGGGCACATGGTCAGTACTGACATGTCACAGCCGTGCTGCCCTACTTGCCTGTTGACAGAGTTCGCAGGGGTTCTTGTGGGGGTCAGTGGGAAGTCAGAGTGGGAGACACTGTGCTTGACTAGTGTCCAGGAATTGTCACTGCAACCTCTAGGCTTCTAGAAAGGCCTCTCCTGCCCCCTGCTGGTGGTGCCATAATCAGACCCTCAGACTCACAGTGTCTACTCAATGATGGGATATGACCCTGTAGCACAGGCTCGGACAGAAGCAGGTCTGGAAGAGGCTAGGCCTGCTGAGGTCGGTTAAAACGCATTTCAAGTACCCCAATGCCATCCCAGTGCTGGAACAGTAATTTGACAAAAGCAGTGGGTTACGTGGAGAAAGGCCACCTCATCAGGGCTGTGGGGTCTGGGAAGGACCCTGTCTCAGGCCACTCAGGGTGGGTGGCACAGCCTCCCTCTCCCTCAAGGGAAACCAGAGTGGTTGAGGGACAGCTCCGTGCAGAGAGAGGACTAGCATGTCCCTGGTCCCTGGTCGCTGGCCGGACCAGCCTGTCAGGTTGGAGACCTGTCCCCTGGGCTGGTTTCGTCTGGCCCCGAGAAAGCTGCACCCTAGCCCCGCATCCAGGCACCGGGCCCACCCTGAGAGGACATAAGGAGCTACCCCTTGGAGCAGAAGAAAGCTGGGTGAAGTTCGTGCACTGCGTGCGTTTCTAAGTGACATCCTCGACATAGGGCCCACCAGCCACTTGAACCCCCACCCCCAACACACTCGGGGCTTCAGTCTCTGGGGTCTTGTTGACTCTGCCACTGATTCACTCTCAGGCCCTGGGAGAGTGACCTCCTCCAGACCCGGGGCGGGTTTCCATTCCTCTCCCGTCCTCTCCATTTCCCCCTCCCGGCCACCTTCTCTTCCTCTCCTTGCCATCAACCATCTCCTTCCTGCCCTCCCTGCACCCTCCGCGCAGGGCTCAGCACTGTGTGAACTGCAGTATATATGATGCTCCACATTAAGTACCTGGGGTCCCTGCCATTCCTGGGGTCTCTCAACTCCGGTTACAATGGAAGACAGCATCTCAGTGTGGCGCTGCCTGTCTTAACATCCAACACCTGTCCTTGGAGCACACAGGGTACTGCCTTGAAAGCGGAGGCTTTCTCAGGTATCCTTATCGGCTAGAATTCCATGACACTTTGGATGTATATTTACTGTGTAGTCTTTTTATGGAAAGGGATAGGATTTTCCATTTATGGCCAGAACTAAATTTCCCTTGAAAATAAATGCGTGGAAGTTAAAAAGAAAACGAATTAAAAAAAAGAGTAAGTGATATTACAGGTGTCAACCCAGTGAGAGGGATACTATCATTACCTCCATTTAACAAAAAGAAAAGTGAGGTGTCAGGAGTTAAGGAACTTGTCCCAGGCTCCAGAGATCCTGGGTGTGGAATGGGATCTGACGTTAAACTTGCGTGCCTCGAGGGACAGAACCCAAGCTGACACCGTGGGCCCTGTTGTAAGGAGCCTCTAGAACAAAATGGCTCAAGGGCATTCTTCAGACTGCAGGTCACCATCTACCCATCCCCTGTGACCCGCCTGGCATGTCTGAACATCCCCTCAGTGCATCCTCAAAACCATCGCCTTGGAGGTCGTCACTAGTCCCCCTACGTTAGCCATGGCGTGGCTCTCACAGAAGTTAAGTGATGCGTCCCCTAAGACCCAGCCACCAGGTAGCAGAGTCAGGCCTGGGACCTACTCCAAAGCCTGCATGTTTCCGACCACCCCCATGGTGGTAGGGGTAACAAGACCCGCCACCTGGCCACCTTATCTTATATTCCAATAATCTTGAGAAGAAGGCCCCACGGTCTTCCCTGATGGGGAAACGGAGCCTCTTGGTGGCTCTGGAATTTCATGAAACTTAAGGTGCGTCCACAACAGTCCCTCGATCAGGCAGCAGAGCCCCTGAGCAGGTGGTGAGTTTGCTGTCTGGGTCAGGCTTTTGAGATACTTTGAGCATCTGTTCCCACCTCGTGCCCTGCTGTGGCCACTCCCTGTCCATTCTGGGGCCGGTGGAGGTCTGGGGGTGGGTGGAAAAGCTGCCATTACCACCCGACCAGCATTAGCAGGCGTTCACTGCAATGGGGACTTGGCACTGGGGACAACTGTGGGTGCTCCTGGTGCCCACCCAGATCCCCACCAGCTCTGTGGTGTAATTCACGCGCCAAAGCTCCCCTGGGGTCGAGCTGAAGCTGGACTCCCCGCTGAGACCTCCTCCTCGCTCTACTCTGTCCTCTGTCCTCTTACCTCCCTCACTCCCTTTTTCCTCCACAAATCCTGTGCACCCAAACCCCTGTCTCAGGCTCTGCCCCTAGGAGCCTGGCTAGGAACCTCTGCTCCACGTCTCCCATTTCCTCCCGTCTGGTATCCCAGGCCAGTGGGGGTTGGGGAACCTTGGTTTGACAATCCCAGTATGGGTCTGGCATTGTCCAAGAGCGTCGGGCTGCTTGGCAAAGCCAGGTGACCTTGAATCCAGGAAGAGTCCCTCGGTTCTTAAGCTTTCCCCGAGAGGCTGGGGGCTTGGTCCACCCATAAATTCCCCCTTTATTCAGAGAAGGAGAGTCACTCCCTCAGCCCGGTCCTGCAGGGACGGTGGCTCGGTGGCTTGAGGACCAGCTCTGCAAGGGGGAGCGGGCACAGAGGGGGTCCACGTACCTGCCGGGCCGCGGGCCTGGGGTTTGTTCACAAGGATTCAGTGATGTAACAGGCAGCCCCCAGGGCTCCCAGAGCCACAGCGGCAGGCCCGAGAGCTTGGAGCACGTGAATTACGATGAGTGGAGTGTTTTCTTGCAGGTTCTCTGTAGAGCGAAACAGAAAGCCCACAGGTTGGGGGAAGCTGGGACTCTAGTGCCCGTCTACATGCAGGGAAAGCAGAAATCGTAGGGTGGCCTCGGGATTTCAGGAACGCCTTCTCCCTGTGACCGAGCCTCCTCTCAGGGGGACACAATTCCGCCCATCCCTTCCAATAAATCCCTGTCGCGAGAGTCCCTGCGTCTGAGGATGGGCTAGCCTGGGGTGCCAGCTGCCCGGGACACCCAGGGAGCAGGGTACGAAGGCGGCGAAGGCCACGGTGTGCCAGGCCCCGTGCCAAGCCTCTCACACCCAGCGTCTTCCTCAAGCCTGACGACCACCATGTGAAGCGGGTTGTGTCATGGGACTCCATTTTGGAGGTGAGGAATCCGAGGAAACAACATATGACGCCCACCACATTGGAGAGGAAAACATGATCATGCTCCCGAGGAAGGCTTTGACAAAATGCAGTATCCGTGTTGACATCGATCCTACTGAAGTAGAGAACCTTATTCAACGTGACTGTGTGTCTCAGGCCAAGGTCTCACATTCCACTGCACCAAGAAGTGTCAAGATGATGGACCCTGGTGCTAAAATTTGAGCGGAATCAAGACTGACACGTCTTACCCCGGCCAGACTGGATCTCTGCCCCTTCCCCTCACTTGCCTAATTCTAAGTCTTTTACCTTTCCCTCTGCCACCTAGGATGCTCTGTCTTTTCATCTTAAGCCACAGAGGATCCCAAGACCCTTTTTGACTCAGCTCAGATACCAATGACACTGCAAAGTCTCCTTGGACCCTGATTTAGGAGCGAGCGCTCTTTTCCTGAAGCTCTTAGAACATCTCTAGGACAGACGTCACTTTTCGGCTTGCATCTGAGATCCTAAGGCCCATGTCTCAGCTTACCACGTAGACGGTACGGTTTTTAAGGGTAAAGTTCCCTGTTCTGGTTTTCCTCACAGGGCTTAGTATTCTATCCAGAACAGGTTTCCCCGCTTGTTGGTTTTTAAGTGATACGAATCCGTGGCTCGGCTTAGCACCAGATGGATAGGAATACTAAGTGTGTGGGAGGAAAGTCAGTAAAGGCGAGTGGTGGGCAGATCATTCCTCGACGGGGACTTACCAGGTTGTATTTTTGGCTTTACGCATGTTCTCCTAACACACCTGGGTATCCGTTTGCTTCTCGTATGTCTGAGAGATGGTGCTTTTCAAGGATGGACAGGAGAGGGGATTTGGTGGTGGAGACACCAGCCAAGAGGAGGAGCAGGATGAGGGTGAGGGGGAGGTGGGCTCTGCTTCTGGGTTAGGGGTGTGAGATCCCCAAGTGGGAAGCCGCTTCATGGACATCGGGTGAGACCCTGAATACAGGTGCAACTACTCTGGGGCCCAGAACTGGGGGCAGATGATGAGGGCTCCCCTCCAACCAGCCCTTGCACAGAGCCCTGCACCACTGGGCAGGGGGACTGACATGTTCAGTCCAGTTTTCTGCACAGGGGTCTTCCCATGAGGGGTGGCTTTCTCCTGATGGCTCCGTGGAAGAGGAAAGGAAGGCCAGATACTGTGGAAGACTCTACGGGAGGCTGCCCAGCCTGGGGGCATGTCTCCTGCGGAGCTGCCGGAAGTAGCCGGAAACCTCCGAAGGAGTGGGGATCTTGCTATTACCAAGGGCACGTGTGAGTTGCAATCCGCATCTGTCACTAAAGTCTGGGGGGTAGTGCAGATGCGGGTCAAGAACCAGAAGCTCTCAGCTGTGGTATGGGCCAGAGAAGGCGGCCAATCGCCAAACACAGCATTTAATCACAAAGCTCTGGGTGACAGGGGATTTACTAAGGGCTGTGAGGGCATAGACTCTGAGGAAGCAGTGGGCCCACGGGGAAAAGAAAAACGTGCCTCCCAAAGAAGCCATTTTCAGTAAGGAAGAAAATTGGCACCCCTCCGTGCAGGTGGGGTACCCTGGGGGTGTGGGTCTGGTCAGAAAGGGCAGGGTGCCAAACCCCAGGAACTGGCCACCCCGGGAGAGGCTTCTTTTCTGCCTGGGCTTCCCAAGAAGAAGTTACCCACGGCTGCTACTATGGTCCGGGGCAGAGCCTGACCCCAGGAATTGTGCCCTGAGGGTCCAGCCCCCCACGCGCTCCAGAACCTGTAGAAAGTGAGGAGGCTTGGAAATCCTCTTCCTGGCATGGTCGGCCAGGGTAGAGGAAGGAGGACATCAAAGATGCGGCTGTGACACAGGCCCAGACGACGCCAGCAAGCAGAGCTTCCGGGGCAAGCGGAACAGGAACAGAAGGCCCGTGGCCCCGCACGAGTCAGAGACCCTGGATGGACAGAGAAGGAGACAGATGAGGGACCCCCGGCCTCCAGGAGGCCGGCGGGAGCCAGGGAGACACAGGAGAGAGAGCAGGGGAAGCTGGTTGTTTTAGGGACCGGAGCTCCCTGGGGATTGCAAAATCATGCCGTTAACAGCTCACACCGGAGCAATGCTTCCTCCCTCCCCTCGTCATTATCCTCTCATCTGTCAGGACAACCCTGCCGAGTGGAATATCGCCATTCTCAGTTTGCAAATAGGGAAACAGAGGCTCAGAGAATGTATGGGCTGTTCCCTTATAACAAGTAGATTCAAGAAGTGGGCTTCGGCTCAGGGGTGCTAACTCATTCTGCGCTCCTTCGACAGACTTCACGGGAACGGACGGCAGCAGGGGACCGTCCGCTCGGCGAGAGGGGGCATCTGACATTGGTCCAAGGTCCATTTGCCCGGGGTTCACTGACTTATCCAGAAGCCAGCTGCTGCTCTGATTTACGGTCCTTGAGACGCCTCCCCAAACTTGTCTCCCATGTGTCCCCTGCCAAGGATCCCAGCGGAACTCGGAGATGCTGTGCTGTTACCCAAGGGGATTTCCGGGCAGATAACTCCCTCCTCGTGCAGTGACTTCAGTCCAGGCTTCCTGACCGAGCTACAGGTTCTTCCGACCAAAGCTCGGCCAGCGGTCCACCGGGCAGACTCAGCACCCTTCCTGCTTAGACCCGCCCACGACAGATACTTTTTCTGGAATGGGGAAGGAAGGGACTCCAAAGGCAACACTGGTCTTTTTTCTCTGTTAAAACAATTTTTTAATAGGCTTTTAATTCCTGTACATGACATTTACCCCTAAAAGTTTTCAGTGGTTTCGGTCAATCAACAGAGGTGTACAACCATCATTACGAATTCCAGAACATTTTCATCTGTCCCCCAAGGAAGCCCCATAACCATTGAGCAGGCACTGCCTTTCCCCACTGCCCCTGGTTCCTGGCAAGAAATTTGCCTATTCTGTACCTTTCATAAATGGAATCACTCATGTGGGCTTTTGGGGGAGTAGCTTCTCTCACTTAGCCTAATGTCTTTGGGGTTTACCCGTGTGGGAGCACGTGTCAATATGTCAGATAGTATTTCATTGTATGGATACCCCTCACGTTGTTTATCCATTCATCAGGTGGTTGATATTGAGTTTCTTCCCCCTACTTCTCGACTATTATTACTGAAGCTGCTGTGAACATTCACGTACAAGTTTTTGTACGGATGTTGTGTTTTTAATTCTCCTGGGTATGTACCTAGGAGTGGAATTGCTGGGTCACATGGTAACTTCACTTTTTTTTTTTTTTTTTTAAGTTTACTGATTTGAGAGACAGAGAGCATGAGCTGGGGAGACAGGCAGAGAGGGAGGGAGAGAGAAAGAGAGAATCCCAAGCAGGCTCCATGCTGTCAGTGCAGAGCCCAACGCAGGGCTCGACCTCATGACCATGAGATCGTGACCTGACCTGAAATCAAGAGTCGGTTGCTCAACTGACTGAGCCCCCCGGGTGCTCCTGTCCATCTTTCGATTATAGCCATTTTAGTGGAAGACTTGTACTTTCCTGAACTACAATGTTTTCTGCATACAAAGAGATTTGGGTTTTAGAAAATGGCACCCTTTATTTAAATAAAGGCCTTTGTCCCTTATCACCAACATTGTTTCCCACTCCGGTTCAAAGGGAGAAAATCCCTCTGGCAGAAGAAGTGTAGGGGGTCCACTGTAACCGCTGACAGGTCATCACTGTTTCCTGCTCGGCCATCTCAATAAGCAGAATCCTTTCTCCAGGAGTGAGCCACATGCATTCATCACAAGATTTGGGGCTGGAAAATTTTGCTTTCTACGGTTACCAGTTCTGAAGGCCATAATCCAGAAATGTTTATGTCCGTGGTTGATGATCACAATACACATGATATATCACACTGATAACTATTTCTACATGTTAAAAATGAATCGATTCTTAGCCATGGAAATAGGATTGTTGTCACAGTGGTATGTTGGATCTGGCTCTCTCACTAAATCTCACTTTTTTTTTTTTTTTTTTTTTGTATCCACACCGTCGCAGAGGAATAAGCTGCAGCCCAGAGAGCGTGGCCTGCTCAGGACCATAGAGCCACCGGCACTGGCTCACGGTGCATTCAACAGAATCCCAGAGAAGGGTGTTCTTCCTCCTGGGGAAACCACCGGACTCTTGGGACCAGAAGGTCAATCAATGTCACAGTGAAGAGCGAGGGTAGTGGAATCAGAGTAGATGGAGGCTGCCCTCTCCCTGCTACTACTGCTTGCTTGAGAGTGTGTGGTTTGACTTCTTTGAGCCTCAGTTTCCCCATCTATAAAAGGGAGATGATGATAACAGTGGCTCCTTTTTTTTTTTTTTTTTTCAACGTTTATTTATTTTGGGGACAGAGAGAGACAGAGCATGAACGGGGGAGGGGCAGAGAGAGAGGGAGACACAGAATGGGAAACAGGCTCCAGGCTCTGAGCCATCAGCCCAGAGCCTGACGCGGGGCTCGAACTCACGGACCGTGAGATCGTGACCTGGCTGAAGTTGGACGCTTAACCGACTGCGCCACCCAGGCGCCCCAACAGTAGCTCCTTTATAGGACCGTCAAACGGGAAGGTTAACATAGACAGTTGAGCCGAATGCTGGGTACATCGTTGATACCCAGTGGCGAGAGTTAGTTAGTTATTACCACTATTAGCAAAAGTATGAACCAGCCCGTCTCCTGAACGCCACTCGAATTCCCTCTACACAATCCAAGGTTCATTCGGACCGTGGCTATCCAGGAAGACGGGGGACCACTTTTCCTAGACAGCCATTCCATTTTCAGAGAGAACTAATCGTCGGAAATGTCTTCTTCGTGTTGAGCAGAAATCTGCCTGTCTACGGTGTTTTCCACAGGGAAGGCCGCCAGATTTAGCAAATAAAACTGCAGAATGCCCATGCCATGTTAGGTCACACACTAAAAAATTATTTGTCCGAAATTCAAATTTTACTGGGTGTCCTGTATTGTATTCAGCAACCCTACTCCTGGGCGCTTAGTCAGACGTCGGAGGGCAACACGGAGCAAGTGTACTCCCGACATTCACTTGACAGATTTCCTCTGATGCCTTCAACCAAACCTCATACGTCAAATGGTTCTTGCTTCCCTGCCCTCTCATCCCCCATTAACCTGCACTATCTCTTTTGGACTGGATTGTGAAGCATCTTTTACAGCACACAAGGATAGTCCGACGAGGGCGGAGTATGACCACCTCCCTCGTCCTAAACTGTATATTTCTGTTAACACATCCTTGGTTTTTATTTTTGAGCAGCCGCACGGCACTCCTGACTCCTGTTGAGCTAGTATGGTTGCAGGGCCAAGGCAAATGTCGACATGTACACGTGGCTGCCTTCTTCATTGAGACTCAGGATGGTAGGGAATGGCGAGATCCAGGAATCCTAGTCTCTTGGGTAAACGCGAAACCCCCAAACCCGCACACCCCACAAGCACAGGTCCAGGATACGTGTCAACCAACGCCACGACCCGAAATGAGCCAGCCTCTGGGGGACCCTGTGCCCACCTGATTTCCTGGATTGAGAGGGTGCTTTTGTGGTAGGGTCCGGAGGCAACCGGCCCAGGGCCGGTGCAGGGGCCCGGGCTGAGGGTCTGCTTTCTGGAGCTGGGAGAGCCTGGGGTGCAGGCTGCTGGGGGACGGATCCAGAGCTGGGCTGCGGGGTGGATCCAGGGCTGGGCCGAGGGGTGGACTCCGAGCTGGCGTGCTGGGGTGTGGACGACTCCGAGCTGGCGTGCTGGGGTGTGGAGCCGCGGCGTCTGGACTCTGGCTTCTTCTTTTTGCCCTTCCTCATGGTGGGTTCTGTTCACCTACATGTGGACCTACATGGAGCTGCCTAATCTTCCAGCTCCCTCCTGGAAGGGGGCTGTTTGCCCCTGCCCTGGGGGAAGGCTCTGCGGACCTCAGCCCCGCAGAGAACAGTCACCTACAGCCCTCCTGTGAGGTCACAAAAGCCGGGGGGGGGGGGGGGGGGCCCCGGGGGCAGGGCTCTGCCGACAGCGTCCTCTGCCCACACTAGCCTGCTGCCCTCCCTCCTCCCCAGTTACGGGGATGGGCAGAAGGCACCTGCTGGGCCCTCCAGCACCTAGTTCCGCCTGGCCGCAGGGCCTGTGACAACCTGGGCCCCCACGGTTCTGCTACCTGAGCGCCTCCTTCAGGCACCTCCCGCTGGTGTGTTCCTGGGTCCCTGTGCGCTTTCTGTTTCGCTCGGAGGCACCCTGGGTGTGAAGCTCATGTGATGCTCAGCTCTGTCACCGGTTTCCACATACCAAAACCAAACGATTTCACCACGTGCTCTGGGAGTTTTAGGTAACTTTACCGAAGACTGGGGAGTCCGTGGATCAGCTGTCCGCCCCCCCCCCCACTCAGGTTCTCTTAAAATAGCTTCTCCTTTCTTCCCAAACCTGCTCTCCCTCCTGTGGGAAGGGGCAGGGGATCCCCAGCTGTAATAAGAGCCCTTAGTTATGGTGAAAGAAGTTCCCCTGAAAACATACCAGCTTTGTTCGAACTCCTTACGCTGGCAACAACTGACTACCTCTTAAACCCCAAAGTCATCGGGTCGATCAGGGGACTCTGAATCTTTCCTGAAGGTAAAAATATGATTTTCCTTTTAGGATGGACGCGGATAAAGCATTTTTTAAAGACAACCTGAAACGTCACACTGACTGCAACACAGGATGTGTTCAGATTAGAAGACCCTATCTCCACTACTGATGCATCACCAGGTGGGTGAATATTCAGCTGTTAACTGCATGTTCCTAGGGGGTGATGCCCTTGCTCCAGGACAAGGTTAAGGGCAGACATAGCCAGAAGGCACCTCCACGCAAGGCCAGAGCCAATATGAAATATGAAATGACAGAAAGTAGTTTAGGGATCCTAGAGCCTGAAAAGAACTTAAAGAAGAGAAACTGAGGTTTAGGGAAGTTCAATCACCTTCCAAGGTGACACAGCTGGTTGGAAGCATCGACAAGGCCAAATTCCCATTCAGAGCTCTTTCATGATTTCAGAAGGCAATAGGGAATCGGATCATTATATAGGCCTTAACGTTAATGAACTAAAAAAGGTCTTGAGAAGATTGAAGAAGAAAAAAAAAAAAAAAGGCACCAGGGATTAGAAGTGGAAGATGGCTCAGATCGATAAAGTTGCATCGAACTTGGTTGACCCTTAGCATGAGGAGGTTCAGGGAGCAGGTGAGTAATCCCCTGAAGTCAAGAGCGATGGATCCCTCTGGGGGATTCAACTTAGAACCAGAGACTGGAAACCCGGGTCAGGGACCCCGTCCAGATAAAGCAGACAGGTCAAGAACTCCTAAAGCATTCATCTCTGCAGTATTCAATTTTCAGACACCAGTGGGCTTTTGCCTGGGGTTTCCACCTGACTTAACCCGGAGTTTCTCAACCTCAGCTCTACTGATATTTTGGCTCAGATAATTCTCCTGTGTGTTGGAGAAGTTTAGCAGCATCCTTGGCCTCTGCCAAGAGATGCCAGTAGCATGTCCCCCCGCCCTCCCCGCCCCAAGTTGTGGCCACCAAAATGTCTACAGACAATGCTAAATGTCTCCGGTGTGTGCGTGTGTGTGTGAAAATTGCCCCTGGTTGAGAACCACTGGTTTAAATGAATTAGATAAGGCAAACTCATGTGGGTAGTATTTCCTGGTAGATGGAAGAAACGTGCCATGTCATACCGAGGGGCCAAGTGGCACAGAAAAGAAGTCCCTGTTCCCGGGGAGAGTGATGGAGGAAACACAGAGGAGTGAGAGGTTTACGGCAATGGAGAAAATACGGGTGCGTTCTTTAAGCAAGAAGCAGGGAGACAGTGCCTGTAGAGTGGGGCTGGCCCAGAGGGACGAGGAAGATTGGCATTGGAGGACTTTGCTAGAAGGTCTTCCGTGGCCCCCTCTGCCTTCTGGCTGGAGCACAAGGTCCTGGCAGGAGTCTGACTCCTCTAGAACACAGTCACAGACCAGTGTCCCAGGCTCATTGACCTTGTCCAGGCCTTGGCAGCCGCGAGCGCGGAGGCCTGCTTCCCTGCATGTATGGAAGCCCTTCCCCTCCATCAGACCTCTCTCCCTTTCTGTCCCATCTTCCAGATCCATCCCAAGTGGACTCCTCTCCTCCTACAGCCTTTCTCGAGATCCCTGCCTGGAAGTGACCCCTCCCTTTCCAAGCCCCAGATCATTCATATACTGCGTGGAGTTAGGATGATGTTTCTCCTGTCTTTTCACGTGGCCCCTGCTCACAGGCAGTGAATGCCCTGGAGGGCCAAAGACCAGAGAAGAAACTCAACACAAGCCGCTTGAAGGCGACGGGAGGAGGAAGAAGAAAGCAGGAAATCATTGCAAGCAGGGTGGGCATGGACGATGGGGGACAAGGCACTCACAGACTGCATCACCATGGGGTTCTTTTCAAGGACGGACTGGGGCTTTCTGGCCTTGGCTGAGGACCACCCAACAGTCTGAGCTCTCCTCCCGGACATGGCAGCTATGGGGCAACCTCATGGACTATTCAGGAAAGTGAGAAAGATGGAGTCTATGGGGGATGCGAGGTCAGGCAGTCAGGATACAGTTCCGAGGGTGTTAAAATCCACACCCAGTGATCCTGGCCCTCTGGCTGTGTCCAGGGCACGAGAGCGAGTGTGTCAATATTTGTCCTGAAGCTAGTGTCGTAGAGTTGGATGAGACCTCAGACACCAACTGACCCTTGGCCCCCACATGTCAGGAGGGCAACTCGTCCTCAGAGGAGACAGCTTGCTCTGGTCACCAAGTGGGAGGGTGGCAGAGCCTTGAGCAACTGGACATTGGACCACCCTGCCCAGAGCACTTCTTTCTTCCCTGCTGCTGCCTCTGGAGGGGACTTCAGAGACAGAAGGCACTTGGTGCTCGTTTCTGAGCCCCCTGTCCAGGGCCCTAGACCCACAGATTGACCCTCTGGGCCCACAGGCCTGGATTCCTTGATAGGAAAGCTCTCAAGGGCTGAATAAGAATCGCGCAGTCGGCCAGCTACTCTGACATAGCACCTCTTCCGGAACACAATTGCGAGGCTAAGGCCCAAAAAGCCCTTAGTACAGTGCCTGGTTCACAGTAGGCAGTTTTTACTGTAAATTGTGATTTCTTTGGAGGAGAAGCCCACAGAACCAAGCAAACAATAAGTGGATGTGAAGAGGGAGGTGTGGGCCCAGGTCCTACAAACTCCCAAACCTGTACCTTGCAAAAAAGTGTGATTTGGAGTACGGGGCAAGGGGGCAAGGGGGGGGGGGGGTGGGTGCAAGTGTAACTCTACGAATTAAATAAATTCGAACATTTTTGACCGGAGATCGCCCCGTGAGCACACCTGGGGTGAGAAATCTAATTAATCTGCACCCAGAGTGGTGCAGGTAGGGCCACGAGGAGAGGGACGGTGACATCGGGGATTTGTCCACCACACTGGACCAGCACAGCACTCCCTCCGTCCTTGCAGTTTCCCACACCCCCGCTTTCGGGCCCCTCACCATCCGTCTGGGTCTCCGGATGCGCTAGGGGGACGCAGCCCCGCGCTCGGCTGGGCTGCCGACGCGCGGGACGTCCAGGCTGCCCTCGGGGCGGCTCGGGCTGAACACCGCCGTGTGCACCTCCACGGTGGGGCGGTGCGGCGCGAAGGCGCTGCAAAGCAGGGTCTCCACGGGGCGGCGCGCCTCTTCCTCCTCTTCGGGCCGCGGCTGCACGACGATTCCGACCAGCGCGGCGAGCGGCTGGCGATCCCGCGCGTGCACCTGCTGCAGGAGCAGCCGCAGCCGCCGCAGGTTGGAGCGCAGCGGCCGACGCGCAGCACAGCGCCAGGAGCAGCCGCGCGCCCGGCTCCGGCGCCTCCGGCGGCTGGCAAGGCTCCCGGCATCCCGGCGCCGGCTCCTCCACCGCCTCGGAACCACAGGTCCCGGCCAGAGCCGGAGCCGTCACGGGCTCTCACGGGTCTGCAGTCTTGCACCTGTGGCGTGGCCTCTCCTGGGTGGGGCGCTTGCACTTGGCGGCGGGGCGGTCGGCGGGCTTCCACAAGCTGTCGCCGGAGCGCTTGGGCCGCCGCGGCGCAGTTGCTGGAGCTGCTGTGCCCGCTCGTGGCTCGGGTGGACGAGGGCCGGGAGGACTGATGGGCAGGGGCCTTCTCCGGAATGTCCTGCAGGGTCAGGCAGCACTGGTCGCTCTTCCAAAGCTCGCCCAACAGCAGTATCAGGCGGTGGCCCTCGATGCACTGGGCCGCAGCCGGCTGCTGTGACTCATCCGTCCCGTCGTGCGGGGCCCTGGAGGGCCCGTCCCTAGGCTCCATGTCCAGTCCGGCTCTCTTGCCCCTCTGGGCCCGGGCCTCTGTTGGTCACGGGACAAGCTGCCCTTCCCTGGAGCAGGTCACAATACCCCGGCGTCCTGCCTCTCCCTGTCCTGACCAAGGGCCTGCGCTCTCTACTTTTTGGAAATCTTTCAACACAGGGAAATTGCTGTTGCTGGCTGCTCTAACGCCAGCTGTGTTTAGTTTCTCTGTCACTTCGTATGACTTCGGTGTCAAAAGGGCAAAAGCCTTTTACCTCGCATATGCACCATTATGCCCCAGCCTCCAAGTAAAACAGCTTTTTGTGCACCTGGTGGACATTTAAAAAGCAGTGGACCTGGGTGCTCACTGCATCTGTGATATTTGAAAAACAGTGAGGAACAAAGAGGCTGGTTCTAGATGGCTGAGCCTGGGAGGCGCGCCCTAAGGTGGCTGGGCCCAGCTGCTCTCTGGATGAACTGGGAGCCAGGGTCCCGGTCCAAGCCTGAACTACTGGGGCTACAGGAGATGGTTTGGGGTCCGCTTCCATCCAGTCTTCTATGTGTACGTATTAGAAAAATCTAGCCTTTTCCCCCTGTATTTCTCCTTTGCTACTCACACCAAACCGCGTTCTGACACTTCTGGTCACCAAATACATGTTTTTGTTTTTGCTTTTTTGTTTTCCCTACACTGAGCAATTCTGTGACACCAGCTGGGAGTCCTACAATTTAACTCAGTTCTTTTTTTATTTTTTCAATGTTTACTTCTTTTGAAAGAGAGAGAGGGAGCGTGAGCGCATGAGTTGCGGAGGGGCAGAGAGGGAGGGAGACAGATGATCCAAAGCAGACTTTATGCTGACAGCAGTGAACCCCATGTGGGGCTGGAACTTACCAACCGTGAGATCGTGACCTGAGCTGAGCCACCCAGGCGCCCCAATTTAAGTAAATTCTGACGCTATCTTCCTGGAGATGGTATCAGATCCCATAGATTAATTCCACGAGACTGCCCCCACCTCTAGCTGCCAGTCGTTACCTGTGCTTCTGACCAGTTGGCTGTAAATCTGAGTTTCCCACTGTCCCCTCCTCTGGTGTGATTGATTTGTTAGAATGGCTCAGAGAACTCGGGAAAACAGTTTACTCAATGTTTACCAGTTTATTATAAAAGGATAAAAGGACTTGATAAAAGACACAGATGAGTATCCAGAGGGAAGGGATGTGAAGGGCAAGGGGCGTGGGGAGGGGCACGGAGCCTCCCTGCCACTTCGGGGCACACCGCTCTCCCTGAACTCCCACGTGTTTCTCAACCTGAAAGCTTTCTAAACCCCAACCCTATTGGGATTTCATGTAGGCACGATCAATGATGAACTCCATCCCTAGCCCTTTTCCCTCTCTGGAGGTGAAAAATCTGGAAATCCCAAGCTTTTAATCATGACTTGGTCTTTCCGGTGGCCTGCCTCCTTCCAGGAGCCTACCCAGAGTCACTCCATTAGAACAAAAGCCACTCCTATTACCTAGGAAATTCCAAGGGATTTAGGAGCTCAGTGTCAGGGACAGGGTCAATGACCAAATGTTAGAACAAAAAAATGCTCTTAGTGCCCTTATGACTTAAGACATCGCAAGGGTTTCAGGAACTGGAGGCAGAGACCAATATGTATCTCACAGGGCATCAGAGGCTTGTCAAAGTGCCAGAAAAATCTTTAGCAAAACCAAAACAAAAAGCATAAAACCTCCTTCCCTGCCCTGGGGAGGTGGGACAAAGGCAGTCAAGATGGCCACAGTGACTAGAGTTCAATGGTGGGGAAGATTTTTCCCTTTGTTGATTTTTTTTTTTAATTTTTTTTTTCAACGTTTATTTATTTTTGGGACAGAGAGAGACAGAGCATGAACGGGGGAGGAGCAGAGAGAGAGGGAGACACAGAATCGGAAACAGGCTCCAGGCTCTGAGCCATCAGCCCAGAGCCCGACGTGGGGCTCGAACTCACGGACTGCGAGATCGTGACCTGGCTGAAGTCAGACGCTTAACCGACTGCGCCACCCAGGCGCCCCCTTTTTTTTTTTTTTAATGAGCTTTGGGTGGCTCAGTCAGTTGAGCATCCGACTCTTTAAAATTTTTTGTTTTAAAGTGTTTTATTTATTTTTGAGAGAGAGAGAGAGAGAGAGAGAGAGAGAGAGAGAGAGAGAGAATGATTGGGGGAAGGGCAGAGAGAGAGAGAGGGAGACACAGAATCTGAAACAGGTTCCAGGCTCCGAGCTGTCAGCACAGAGTCCGACATGGGGCTCGAACCCATAGACCACGAAGATCATGACCTGAGCTGAAGGCGCCCCTGAGTGTCCAACTCTTGATTTCGGCTCAGGTCACAATCCCAGGGTCGTGGGATCAAGCTCCATTTCAGGCTCTGTGCTGAGCGTGGAGCCTACTTGAGATTCTCTCTCTCTCTCTGCCCCTCTCCCCTGCTGGCGTGCACGATCTCTCTCTCTCTAAAATGAATTAGACGAGGGGCACCTGGGTGGCTCAGTCGCTTGAGCGTCCGACTTCGGCTCAGGTCATGACCTCGCAGCTTGTGAGTTCGAGCCCCACGTCGGGCTCTGTGCTGACGGCTGGGAGCCTGGAGCCTCCTTCGGATCCTGTGCCCCTCTCTCGCTCTGCTCCTCCCCTGCTCATGCTCTGTCTCTCTCACAAGAATGAATAAAACATTAAAAAAAAATAAATGAAAAAAATGTTTAAATGAGCTTTTTTAGGTTGTTTAGAATTATTTTTAAATATATGTAAGTTGAAGACTCTGAAAAGCAACCTGTCAACCAGAAAACCCCAGCTAGAATCCTGCCGAAAGCTGCAGGACCCCTCAGGCCTGGGAACTGGGGAAGACCAGGTAATGGCAGAAGACCCCCGCAGCTTTGCAGAAGCAGGATGGACATTGTTGGGGTCCTGGCTTTTCAGCCTTGGACCAGACACTCAGCTCACCTTCCATCTGGACAGTGTTGGTAAGAACATCTCCAGCCCCCTCCCTTCCCCTCAGCAAATGGAAAAGGTCAGAATTGGGGACTCATGGGTGACCCTTCCCTAGGGTGCTGGGCCGCTGTATTATAAATCGATGCGAGTTTCTTCCAGGATGCATCATACCTGTGGCCGTGCCACCCAGGTGTCTGCTATTGCACAGGTTAACCTGAGTGCGTGAATCTTAAAAAAAAAAATTTTAATGTTTATTTTTGGGATTGAGAAGACAGTGAGAGTGGGTGATGGTCAGAGAGAGAGAGAGAGAGAGACAGACAGACAGACAGACAGAATCTGAAGCAGGATCCCAGCTCTGGGCTGAGCAGTCTTAGGCTGAGCTGGGAGTCTTAGGATTTGGATCACGCTGCGAGGGAGGAGGCCCTTAACTGGGCCAGGACTTGACTCGCCCTTTCTAAACCCGCTTTTGTCAAGTCCCGAACTGGGGAGTACCAGTTAGGAAGGGCTAGAGTTGAACTGAACTGTCAGGAGGGTAGGGTGCTTCGCTCTCCTGCTCTGTCCCCCATGCCTAGGGGCAAAGGCAGCCCCGGGCTGCAGGGGTGGGGGGTGGGCCCAATGTCGTGTTCCCCGACATCAGTTCAAAGAGTCGGACAGAGGTGTCAGAGGACCTTTGCATTCACCTGTCTGACACAGAGTACTGCCCTTCAGCGCAAGGTTAAGACTCAAGGGCCACTGCCAAAGGGTCCCACCTAGGCCACATCCCTGGGCAGAGTGAAGACACAGCATGGAGAGAGGAGCAGGGAGGTGGCAGGACTCTGTGTGACCTTAGAGAGTAGGAGGATGAGGCCGGAGCCCAGCCATCCCTAACAGCCCTTCTTGGGGCCTTTTTTCTTCCCCCGGGAGGGAGAGATCTGGCAGGAAGTGGCACTAAAAGCAGGTGCTGTATGTGCTAGTGTTAAAAAGTGGATTCTAGGGGCGCCTGGGTGGCGCAGTCGGTTAAGCGTCCGA